TCACTGCAACCTCTGCCGCTTGGGTTCAAGCAATTCTCTTGCCTCAGCCTCCCAGCTAGCTGAGATTACAGATGCCCACCACCACGCCCTGCTAATTTTTGTATTTTTAGTAGAGATGGGGTTTTGCCATGCTGGCCAGGCTGGTCTCAAACTGCTGACCTCAGGTGATCCACCTGCCTCGACCTCCCAAAGTGCTGGGATTACAGGTGTGAGGCACCGTGTCTGGCTAATTTTTGTATTTTTAGTAGAGACAGGGTTTTGCCATGTTGGCTAGGCTGGTGTCGAACTCCTGACCTCAGGTGACCCACCCACCTTGGCCTCCCAATGTGCTGGGATTACAGGCGTGAGTCACTGCGCCCGGCCCATCTTATGATCCTTAATGACATCTGCAAAGACTCTTTTTCCAAATAAGGTCACACTCTGAGGTGAGGGGAGACTGAGACATGGACATGCCTTTCTGGGGTCCCCACGCAGCCTAGGGGGAGGAGGCGGGAAGGCAGATGGGAGTAGCCTCCTAAGGAGCTGTGGGGCCCATCACACACCTTTCAACATGCACACCCTCTGACCTAGAGATTCCACAACTCAGAGTACACCCCAGGGACCTGCACAGTATACAGACAGACCCAGAGCCTGCCCCGGGGAGCTGTACGGTGTACAGATAGACTCAGGGCACGCCCCGGGGAGCCACACCATGTACAGACACACTCAGAGCCTGCCCTGAGGACTCGCACAGTGTACAGACACACTCAGGGCACGCCCTGGGGAGCCACACCATGTACAGACACACTCAGAGCCTGCCCCTGGGACCCGCAGGGTGTACAGACAGACTCAGGGCACGCCCCGGGGAGCCGCACGGTGTAGACAGACTCAGGGCACGCCCCGGGGACCCGCGCGGTGTACAGACAGACTCAGAGCCTGCCCCGGGAGCCGCACGGTGTACAGACAGACTCAGAGCCTGCCCCGGGGAGCCGCACGGTGTACAGACACACTCAAAGCATGCCCCGGGGGAGCTGCACCGTGTACAGACTCAGGGCACGCCCCGGGGACCTGCACAGTGTAGACACACGTGTTCTCTGGTCCTATAACATGCCCTATCACTTTAACAAATATGAGAAACAGAAGCTTTCTTCAGGGTCCCCGTGTCTCCTTGCAGACATGGTGGAGCTGCTGCTGCTGCAGAACGCACAGGTGCACCAGTTGGTCCTGCAGAACTGGATGCTCAAGGCCCTGCCCCCAGCCCTGCAGGTAGGCTCAGCCCCTAGCAGACCCCAAAGTCAAGGAAACACAGGGTCTGAGTGGTTTTTTCCTCTGGAAATTTCTGCATCTGTGTAGCTCTGAAAGGGCATTCCTGGCTCAGGTCTGCAGTCTGGCTGTGAAGCCCCCATCCCCATCGAGTCCCAGCCAGATGAGGAATGGGTTGCACAATTTGGGACTGGGGAGGGGCCTCCTCTGGAAGGATGCTTAGACCCCTGCCATCCTGCCTATCACACAGAACCCAGCCCCAGTTAGGAACAGGGCGGGAGTGGAGGTGGGGAGCAACCTGGGCCGCATCCTGAGCTGCAGGTGTGTCTGTGGCAGGACCCGCCATGTGTGCCCCCGGGGGTCCCACGAGCTGCCAGGCCAAGGCTGCCCGTCGTGCACCACCACCACCACCACCATGCTGCGTGGCCACCTGGGGCTGCCACTGTCCTCCAGCCCGCCCCCAGCCCGTGGACGCCCGGCCCACCCTGAGTGTGAGTCACAGAGACCCTGGCTGGGGCACCCTCCACCCCCAGGCTTCCTCAGGGCTGTGGGCTGTGGCGGGTCCATGGAAAGGAGCAGGGGGAGACCCTGCTGCCCCCTAGAGTGGCCACGTGAGTGTGGACCACGGGCCCCTCCTGGGGAAGCTGGGCAGGCTCGCTTTCTGGCCACAGGGCCATTCCAGGGGGCATCCCTTGCTCTGGGACCCCTGCAGAGAGGGGCCTGTGAACCCGCGCAGGGCAGCAGCCCCTCCCAGGGACCCTTCCTTTCCTGTAGTGTGGCGCCAGCCCACCTGGGAGCCTCAGGTCCCCCTCTTCCATCACGGAGGTAAAGTTGAGGCCGTGGACACCACCAGACCGACGATCCTGAAATAAAGATTTCATCCGGAAAGAGTTTAAGAAAACCTCAGCTCAGGAACCAGAATCGGGAAGATCAATAGCTTTAGCCACATGGAATGTAAACATCCTGATGGGAAAAATACCACAAAGTCAAATTTAGTAACTAGGGACACCCGTTTGCCACAGCTGTGGAGCAGACTCCTACTAAAGAAGTAGCAGTGCATGGTTCAATGCCTGTAGTCCCAGCATTTCAGAGGCTGAGGCAGGAGGATCACTTGAGCTCAGGAATTCGAGACCAGCCTGGGTCACATAACAAGACCCCATCTCTACAAAAAGTAAATTAAAAAAACTAGTCAGGTGTGGTGATATGCACCTGTGATCTCAGCAGTTCTGGGGGCTGAGATGGGAGGATTGCTTCAGCCCAGGAGTTAGAAGCTGCAGTGAGCTGTGATGGAACCGCTGCACTCTAGCCTGGACCACAGGGCAAGCCCCTGTCTCAAAAAATAAAACAAAAAAGTGAAAGAAGCAAGCTGTGTGTCACGTGATCCCTTTTGAGTTTAAAAAACAAACAAACGGAGAGTGCTAATGGTATAAACGCAGAAATCTCTACATGCTGGTTTGCACCGCTCTCGTTCCTGTAAAGCAAAGGTGAGTGCTGGGCAGTGGAGGGGCGGCTTCCTGTCCTCAGTTCAGTTTCCTTCTGTGCTCTGGGATTTCTTACCATGCGGACAGGCTACCTTGACTATTTCTTTTCTTTACTTTTTTTGTTACTTTTTTTATTGGGTGCAATTATGTTTCTTTGCTCTTTTAATGTTATTTACATATTTTTAAGTATTTATATAAGCTTTCATTCACCTCCCATTAGCACAGATTCCTTCATTCCTGAAGTTCCGCACAAGGAGGAACCCTGTCCCCGTGCTTCCATCCTTGAAAGTTTGCAGGTAGGAGACAGGATGGCCAGAGTTGCCACTGAGCTGCAGGGGCCTCCGCTCTGGCTGACCCGGCCTCAGAGCTCCCCAGGGAGAGCCACGTGGTGCCCACATGGATGGACGGGTGTGAGCACCAAAGAGCCCAGCGCAGCTACTGGCAGTAACACTCACTTCTCTCAAAACCATCTTTTCCTGCCTCTTGAAGGTGATTCCGGAGACTCTGTGCTCCCGTTAAAAGCTCAAACCAAAGCTCTGACTCCGTTTCCTCTTTTCAGAGTGACTTTCTAGCATGGCATTTCTCTTTCCTTCTACTAAATATTTCTCAACCGAATTTTTCATACAACAGAGGGAAGAAATGTCACAGGAAGTGGTGGTCTTTGGATGGCCTGGTCTTGCTGGGTTCACAGGGATGAAGGGCTCTGGCGTCCTGAGTGTTCGGTTAGGGCACAGCTGGGCTGCCTTAGCCTTGACTGGCCTGCAGGAGGGGTGGGGTCACGCCTGAGGGTGGGGCAGGGGATGAGCTCACCCCCATATGCAGTCCCCCCTTGGTCCACCTTGGTCCCCCTGGGTGGGCTGAAGAGCTCAGAGCAGGCCCTGAAAGTGGACTTGGGCTGCTTGGCAGGGGTTTGAGGGTCTGGGTGCCTGGTACCTGGTAGTTAGGAGTGGGGGCTTCTCATGGCCACACCTCCTTGCCTGTGGTTAGGAGAGTGGGGCGGGGGGTGGTAGGTGGGGGTTCAGGGCACACTGTACACACCTGTACACCTGATAAGGTGGGTGACACTCATTGAGAGAGGTTGAAGATGACCCAGGGACCAAGGCAGCACATACGCGTGGGTCAGAGCCCCCACGGGGCCAGCAGATCTGCAGATTTAATGCAACTCCAGTCAAGAATCCAGACTCTTTCTGGCACGCGAGGAGCTGAAGCTGGGACACATACAGAAGGTGAAGGGCTGGGTGACTCCGGGAGCAGAAGGATGAGGAGGGACCTGCTCTGATGATCCTGTGGCTTGCAAGAGGGTGCAGAATCAGGACAGTGTGACTGGGGACAGGCTAGGCAGTGGTGACCTGTGAGCCCCCACTCCCAACTCCCAAGTTCCTAGAGTAGGACACTGCCCTGCACGGGTAAGAGGTGATGCTACTGCTGCCTGGGCCACGGGCGGCTCTTCCTCAGGTTTAGGTCAGTAGGGCATTTGCTCACATTCCCTAAAGAAAGAAAGGGTTGGGGCCAGGCACGGTGGCTCACACTTATAATGCCAGCGCTTTGGGAGGCCCAGGTGGATCGATCACCTGAGGTCAGGAATTTGAGCCCAGCCTGGCCAACATAGTGAAACCCTGTCTCTACTAAAAAATACAAAAATTAGCCAGGCGTGGTGGCGCACACCTGTAGTACAAGCTGGGAGGCACGCTGTTGTGAGGGCCTTCCCAAGCCAGTGCGGCGATGATAGCGTGAGCTACGCAGTGTCTTCGCGAACTGGCTGTTGTTCCTTAACTGGAGATAGCAGAGTGCGTTCTGCCTCTCCAGTTGCCGCCCCAGCTTCAATCGAGCACGGTGCAATCTCGGCTCATTGCTACCTCCTGCCTCCTGGGCCAAGCCATTCTCCCGCCTCAGCCACCAAGCCAGCTGGTGACTTAGGAAGTGTGCATCCACTACGCACCGTCTAATTAAAGTTTTTGTAGAGACAGGGTTGTCACTGTGTGTACCAGCTAGCTTGAACTCCTGACCTCAAGTAATCTGCCCACCTCAGCCTCCGCAAAGGTGGGATTACAAGGTTGACCGCCACCCTGTGGCCCAGCTCAATCATGGTATTTGCTTTTTTGGAGTGATTACTCCTGCCCAGCCTCGCCAGGTAGC